GCCCAACTCCAATGTGGATCAGAAGTTTTCAGACTTTCTCCTTAGGTCTGGAATCTTCTAAGAATGCTTTTGGCCTCAGGAACTTGGGTGGCACTGACCTGAGACCCTGGCCGTGGCCGTGCCACGCAGGGATGCAAAGGCAGATGGGGAGGGAAGAAGCCCCAAGATTTCCCAGGGAGTGGATTGAGTAGCTGTGTTGTACTGGATGCAAAGGATCAAGGAGAGTAAAGGTAAGCCTCGGAGCCCCAGAAAGTGGCTCTCAGCCCCAGAAAGAGGCTGGCGGGTGTTGCAGGACCAGGGAAGTAGAGGGAGGTGAGGGCGGGGCCAGGTCCAGAAGCGGTGTTCCTGGGGCCCAAGTAAGGCACTAAGTTGGTCTGAGGGTCAGGGGTCAGGAAGCAGTATTGGTTCCCTCCGGGTCTGGGGCCCCAAGACTAGGTATGGCGCAGGTCCCAAACTAGGAGTAGCGATTAGCGAGGGAGATGGAAGGGTGACTGTGGCTTGGGGCCGCGGAGGAGGAGGCACTAAGTTGGTCTGGGTGAGAAGGGTCAGGAAGCAGTATTGGTTCCCTCCGGGTCTGGGGCCCCAAGACTAGGTATGGCGCAGGTCCCAAACTAGGAGTAGCGATTAGCGAGGGAGATGGAAGGGTGAATGTGGCTTGGGGAGTCGAGGCGCGGAGAGCTGCACTATAGACTTACCCCAAGAGGCCTGAGGATTGGAGTGCAGGCTAGGAAAGCAGTAATCTCTATTTTTGATTTGGTAATTTATCAGGGCTCTCCCTTAATCTCTCTTATCAAGGAAGAGCTGCCTAGGTGGGCATGGTGGCTCATACCTGATAGTCCCAGTTACTAAGGAATCTGAGGTGGAAGGCCCATCTGAGCTCAGGAGGCTGACACTAGCCTGGGCAATACAGTAAGACCCCCATCTTAAAAAAAAACAAGAGAACCATTTGCTTACAGGACTGGGTAGCAATAAAGGAACAAAATACTGATAACTGTAATGACACAGTCAAACCATTATGCAAAGTCAAAGAAGCCAGACACAAGAAAATATATATATTGGATGTTTCCCTTTATATGAAAATTCCCAGAAAGGATAAATCTAAAGTCAGAAAGCAGCTCAGAGGTTGCCTCAGGCTACAGAGTGAAATACGGATTGAGTATAAATGAATTAGGTGTTCTAATGTTAGATTATGGTGGAGGGTAGACAGCTCAAGAAATTTATAAAAACTATTGGATTAGACACTTATAATGGGTGGTTTTTATGACAGATAAATTCTATCAGTAAGGTAGTTTTAAGAAAATGGTCTTGGAGGCTGAAGAGATGGTTCAGCATTTAAGATTTAAGAGCACCAGCTGCTCTTGCAGAGGACCCAGGTTAGTTTCACAGTACCAACATGAGAGCTAACAACTGCCTATAACTCCAGTTCCACAGGATCCAGTGTCCTCTTCTGGCCTCCACTAACATTGCATGACACAGGTGCATTTACATACATGTAGGCAAAACACTCATACATATAAAAATAAAAATAAATAAATCACAATGAATTTTTTTAAAAAAGAAAAGAAAAAGGTCTCCAAGCAATCACTGGAGAAGTGGGACTCTGTTACATAATAACAGATGACTAGTACTTCAGCTTTCATTTAAATAAAACAAAATAGTGTTGCCAAAGGCTATGCAGTGCACTTGGCCCAGTTTCACAGGACCATAAGAATGGGTTAAGAGTTAAATTTCAACAATAAGAAAGATGGAAGAAGAAAACATCATTCTCTTGGCCAGTGACTGAGGAAGCTGTGACTATACACCCACCTCTCAGTCCCAGCACACCATGCTTAAGGATTATTTCAAAGCTTTCCCTTAAGTCTTGCTAGCTATTGGGTAGAATAGACAGAAGTGCCCTCACCACCCTGACAGCTGTACAAGTTGACAGCCTTCACCCACTTACCTGGAATGGTATGCACTTCATCAAGGATCATGAGTCCCCACTCCTGGGTTTTGAGCCATTCCATGACTCTCTCGGCCTCCCAGGATCTTTTGGTGGTGTGGCCCAGCATGGAGTAAGTGCTAATAGCAATGGAGCAGCCGATGGGCTTGTCTTTGGCATCTGAGGTGAAGCGGCAGATCTGGCTGTCATCAATGGTTGACCACATCTTAAACTGGGCTTTCCACTGCTCCACAGACACAGCAGAGTTGCCCAACACCAGACAGCGCTTTCTGACAGTGCATGCAGCAGTCACACCAACCAGGGACTTCCCAGCACCTGCAGGAAATCAAGGAGTAATGCTACCCAAACAAAGGACAGGGATGGGCAGATAGGTTCAACAGTGCCAAAATCCAGGCAAAGTTCTTACCCTAATCCTCACAGCTGACATTTGTGAGACACTGCTTCTGCCTATTTTCTTTATGAAGAGATGACCCATTGAGAACATTTGTGAAAATTAGTGGGGGCCAAGCCCTTCTGTAGCTCCTTACATGCATCTCATTTAAAACAGTGAACTCTGAGAACCAACAGTGAGAGATACTCCTGTACCACCATCTTAAAGGGAAGACAAGGGAGAAGAGCACTTTGCCCACAGTCACAGATACTAGTGCTGAGCACAACGTAACTAGCACACATTCTACAAAGGAAGTAATACAAAGTGTGCACACTCCCAGCAGAGCCAGAGAAGATACAATTCCTGGAGTTTCTGAATTTAGGTTCACCTTCCATTCAAAGATCAAGGGAAAAAAAAAATCAAACTAAGGTGTCAAGATGGCTCAGTGGGTAAAGATCTGAGGACCTGAGTTCAATCCCTGAAGCCCAACTGGCAGAAGGAGAAAACTGATTCCTATAAATTATTCTTTGACTCCACATAAATGCTGGGGCAGTGTGTGCTCACACACGTATATATACACCCACACCAAAATACACAAATAAATAAAATATAACAAAAAATGTTTAACAATACAAGGACCAGAGAGATGGCTCAGCAGTTAAGAGCACTGGCTGTTCTTGTAGAGGACCAGGTTTGGTTTCCAGCACCCACATGGTAACTAACAATCATCAGTAATTCCAGTTACAAGGGATCCAACATTGTCTTCTGAACTCCAAGGGCACCGGATGCACATGATGCACTTATATACATGCACCCAAAACACTCATACACATAAAATTAAATTATTCAACAATGATTCTTTCTGCCTTTACTACTGAAATAACCCATGAAGCTTTAAAAATAAGAGTCTGAAGGCAGAAGCCCATCCCTAGGGACTCAGTACAGGGTGGAGCCCTGCTGAGTCTGTTACGGCCTCTGGCTGAGAACCAGGTAAAGACCTGACACCATTCAAACAGGAAACAGGAGGTGGATGCTGCCTTTTCTCAGCCTTGCACACCATCATAAGCCATAAGAAACAAGCAAAGCTTCTGTGCTAAGGACCTCCAAGTCCATACCTCACAAGACTGATTTCACAGAAGTATGTTACTCAGCATGTCCATCAGCACCTCACCAGGATTGTCATCCACTCACACCACGCTCCAGTTTCCTTCAACACTTCTATTATCAGCCAAGACTTCATAGGCTGCTTAGCTGAACAATTTACAGTCATTCTCTACTCCAGCTCAAGGAGCTCCATTACACTCCTACGGCCTAGTAGGACTGAGGCTGCACACAGTAAGCACTCAATAAATATCAGTCAAGTCCTGAATCAGGAGTGACCTGACCTCAGTCATGTTCTGTCAATGTGTGATGCAGGGTGACACACTGAGGGGAGCAGGAGGCAGCTGGCACACAAAGATGGGCAACCCGGCCACCCTCTTCAATCAGATATCACTTACCACAAGGAAGAACAATGACTCCTGAACGGGCTCGCCCATTCCCAAACATCTTCCGCAGGCTTTTCTCCTGATAGGGTCTTAGGACAGCGGTGGGTTTCAGGTCAATGTTGATGTCAGGGTTGACAGAATCATTCCGAAAGTCATATTCTGCCAACAGTGGGTACTCCAGGTGGATGCAGCGCTTCTGGAGCTCCTCAATCATTTCCTAGGAGTCAGGAGGAAAGATGTTTGATAGTGCTACTCCAAATTGTGTTCAAAACATTCAAAAGGGCCCACTGACCAAAATCTGGCATATTATCTGGACGAATAAATTTCAGATCTTGCTTGCATTAGTAGGTTAGCAGAGAAAAGCAGCCCAAACTAGCAACACTGTCAAATTGAACTTTGTTTTTTGAGACAAGGTCTCATCTATCCCATGCAGGCCTAAAATTCACTATGCCGTCAAGGATGACAATGAACTCCTGATCCTCTTACTCACACCTCCCCAGTACTGGGATTACAGGCATATATACCACCATACCCAGTTTACAGGGAACTAGAGATCGAACCCAGGACCTCATACAAGTACTCTACCAACTGAGCTACATCCCAAGCCTCCTCAAAATGAACTTTAATCAGAAACAATATGAACCCTCAGTTAATGTCTCTTACCTGCCCTCAAGAAGACACCAGTTTCTGACTCAAGGAAAAGACACTCAGACCCTAACCCTGCTCAGCAGAGATGATGACATAGCCCAGACACTGTTAAGAACAAACTGAGGAACTGACAGGGATCCCTTTTTCTTAGAGCACAAGGAAACTGACATAGGGCTGGACCAGCTGCTGACACCCACTGAGTAAAAGAACCAGCATAATGCATTCACTGACCTGCTTAACTTCAAAAGATACTGTCTGTGTTTCCTCTTCCTCCTCCTCCTCCTTGTCCATTTGCTCATAAAAGTCAAAAAGGTCTGTAGGAATATCAGATTTAGCCTGTGGATCTGTCACCTGGGAAGTGGAAGGCCCAACACCTCCTTCTGCAGTCTTAGAAATCTGTAAGAGGAAGGCAGGATTCCAGACTCATACAGAACATTGAACTTTGTTGTTATCATGAGCTAAAGTTGAAGGGGGGAGAAACTAAAGTCTAGCAGGGCTGCCAGACTGCCAGTGCTATGTTTTAGAACTGAGGTCCTAAGTGCCCAGTCCCCCAGGAGACCCAAGAGCCCACACACAGCAGATTTGCTTGTGAAAGTCTCTGTGATGAGCTCAGTGGCCTCTCCTTCAGCATTCCTCAGGCGGCATTCCCGGATCACTGGGTCTTGAAGAAGATGCTGGATGACATCCGGGTGGGAGCTTTCAACGAAGTACCTATAAACAGAAGAGGAAGGAGGTCCTCACTAGCCAACACATCATTTCCAGAACCTTCTACTCCATTAGATAGTCTGAAGATGGTAGTCTCATAATAATTCTCACATTTTTGCCTAATTAGAGGTATGAGCTACAAGGCAAGATGTAATGTGCTGAGAATAAGGGCAGGTTAAGTTGGCATACTATCAGCAGAGGGAGCAGGAACAGGTGCCACAGTTCCATGATGCCACCTGTAGCAGCCTTAGGAATTCTTTCAAAGATTTCCACTTCAGGGGCTGAAGATGGCTCAGCAGTTAAGAGCACCTTTGCAGAGGACCCAGGATACATTCCCAGCACCCACATGGCCACTAACAACCAAAATTGGAGTCATAAATCCAGTTCCAGGGGGAATTCAACCCCCTCTTCTGACCTCTACAGGCACTGCATAACACAGGTGCACTTACATACATGCAGATAATAATACACTCATACACATAAAAATAATAAATAACTTAAAAAAAACCATGTCCCGGGTTGGAGAGGTGGCTCAGCAGTTAAGAACACTGGTTGTTCTTGCAGAAGACCAGGTTTCGATTCCCAGCACCCACATGGCAGCTGACAACCATCTGTAACTCCAGCTCAAGGGGATCCAATGCCCTCTTCTGGCCTCCATGGTCATTGCATACACGTGGTACACTTTTAAAGACCTGGGTTCGAATCCCAGCACCCACATGACAGCTAACAACTGTCTGTTAACACCAGTTCCAAGGGATCCAACAGCCTCTTCTGTCCTCCGCAGGCATTGCATGACATGGGGGCACTTACCTACACACAGGCAATACATGCATACACATAAAATAAAAATAATAAATATTTTTTTAAATGTCCATTCTAGGGGTGTGTCTCAGTTGGTACAGTACTTGATTTACATACACAGAGCCCTGAGTTCAATCGCCAGCACTACATGTGGAGGTGCACACTTGTAATACCAGTATGCTGAGAGGTAGAGGCAGAAGGATTAGAAATTCAAGGTCATCCTTGGCTACAAACTGAGTTCAAGGCCAGCCTGGGAAACATAAGACTCAGTCTCAAAATAACAAAAACAAAACCTAAAAAAGACATTCAGATGAAATCAAGGACTCTTGATTTTGCCTTGGAAAATGATTTTGGAAAATCAGTAGAGAGCAAAGTTGGAGTTGATAAGAAAAGGTTCTAACATAGACTGAAGCATGGGTATTAGGGGAGAGGGGCATTTAGGAAAAGAATAGTACATACCAAAGACATAGTGCAGGCTTCTTGAGAGGGACCCTAACTATAGCCACATATATGATTTTGGTGGCTTCTGAAGTTACATTGTTTAAAAGGTTTCTAGGGAATCTTTTTACAGAGTGTTTCCTAAGGAGTACACCGGATAGAAATAAAGACTGATAAAATAAAACCACAGGTCATAAGGACAGAAGGAATCCTTACTATACAGGTCACAAGGGAGTTAGACATAGGTTTTGACTGTATATGAAGGTAATAATCATCTTTGTGAAATCTTTTAAAACTGCATGCTTATAGCTGGGAAAGGAAAAAGGTTAAAGGTCATAAATGCTTATGTCTTGAGCATGGATCACTGCTATTCTAACATTCCTTTTTTTAACATTTTATTTATTATTTTATGTGTAAGAGTATATTGCTTGCATGTAGGTAAGTGTACCCATGTCATGCAGTGCCCACAGACATCAGATCCCATGGAACTGGAGTTACAGATGGTTGTTAGCCACCATGTGAGTGCTGGGAATTGAACCTGGTCCTCTGCAAGAGCAGCCAGTGCTCTTAACTGCTGAGCCATCTCTTCAGCCCCTATTCTAACATTCTTATCTCAAACATCTCTATATAGAGTACTGTCTATACATAAGCAATCTTTACACAGCTGTGCTGGGATTCTTGACTCTCAGAAAAAGTCAACCACACTAAAGCATGAGGGACTCTTTATCCCTTCCCAAGTCCCCTTAATTTTCCATCTTTCTATCCTGATTCAAGCAGGGTCTAAGCCCAGCTCCAGAGCTAGAGGGAACACGGTGGCTAATCAATTTCCCGCTTAGGCCCCAGCTCTACTTCCTAGTATCTATGCTTCAGGGGAGTGAAATATTCTGCAGAGCAGGCAGTTCATAACATTAGCTCCTGCCCACAACTCCTCCTCTCACCTGGCATGCAGAGGGTAAAATGCCTCAGAACAGGCCTCTCATGGGACTCCTACCTGTTGTGCTTCAGGACCAGCTTGACTTTTCCATAGCTGATGGTACACAACTGCAAGCAAATGAAACAGCAAAAAGGCAAAATTAGTATTCAGAACACACTTGCTACTGGTCATGTCTTACCACCTACCAACAAAGTAAAGAGTTGAGTTTACTCTTATCTACCTAAAGGGAGCTTTTTCTACTGGCCCCAACTTGCTGGGAGCAAAACCTTCATCCTGTCTAATTCTTATGTCTATCTCTTGACTTACAAAATACTACTAAAAATCTCTCCTGTGTTTTCCAATTCCATTTCCCTTGCATGTCCACAGGCCCCATCCTGATAGGGAGGCTCATCCTGCCACGGTGGAACTCCTACAACTCCTACCAGCAGAAGTCAGCAAGCACAGTGTGGGCTCAGTTATTAAGTTACATAAATAAAATGCAAAGCCTCCTGGCCTTCCCAGGATTCTGATTCCCCTAACTAAACCCTAAGCTTCTTTTTTTATCCTTTGTACTGGCAAATGAATCCAGGACCGCTGAGCTATATCCCCAGCCTCCACCTCTGCACCACCTCAGATTTTGAGACAGGGCCTTGTAAACTGCCCAGCTCATATGCCACCATGGCCAGCAAAACATAAGCTTCTTAGTGACAATGAATACAGTTTAAATCCTTTCAGGCTCCCAATCTTCTGGAAGGAATCCAGCAGGTTGTGGGTTAGCCACAAAAATACACTACTCAAGACATTGTCCCTCTGGCCACCACATCACTGCCCTAACACTATCATCCTTCTAGGCAACTTCCCTTCCACCCTGGGCCTAGCCTAGTGCTCATGTAGGCTCGCTCGATAAGGTGCCCTCTCCTGGATCATCTGAATACATCACATGAAAAGAGACCTCTGCTGGGTTCCTACCAGCTGCTCTGGATTTGGGTGTCCATGGCATTCTTCTACCTCCACATTTGGAATTTGAATTGGAGTCCCTCAGATTAGCCAATGGCAACAAAAACCACCATGCCATTTTTTTCAAATGACATTCACCTATATCCAACCTTTGTTCCCATGGAACACTCTTCAACAGGTGAAGTTTTGATTTTCATCAAAACTTGTTTGTTTTTTTTTTATCAAAACAATGGGTCTTGGGTAGGCATTTAACTTAGATCGAGTTCACTACCTATAATACACCAGCCACAAAACCCCCAAAACAAACATTTATTTTCTCAGGATTCTGGAGGCTAGATGTCCATAACCAGCTGATTCAGTTTGTGGTAAGGGCTCCTAGCTTGTAGATAGCCAGATTCCCACTGTGTAGTGCCATGAAAAAGAGACAATGACAGTTCCATGACGTCTCCAAATAAAGACATTAATCTTACTGGATTAGAAGGTCTCACTCTTATGACCTCATTTATTATGGCTTACCAAATACAGTTATATTGGAGGGCTAAGCTTTCAGTGTATGCATTCTAGGGGCACATAAACCAGTCCACAGCATCACCTGTTTTAGGCTGTTTTGCCAAATATTCCTGGCCAGAATGGACTGAAATTACTACCCTTCTGTATTCATACCCACGGCTGGGAGCAAGCATGAAAGCATGACCTCAGCCACAAAACAGGTTGGGTCAAAAGGAACAGCAGCTGGGCACATTTTCATGGCTGTGAACAGATGACAAATGTATAGCACCTGACACCACAATGCCGTATTATAAAGACAGGCAGAATTGCTAGCAATTCACCTTAATAAACTGAATAATTCCATCAGGGACTCCAGTCTTGCTGAGCTTCCTGAGGTATTCAGTGATGTCACTAGTTTGCAGACCAACGCTGACAGCTGCATACAGGGAATAGGCAGTTAGCTTGTATTCATGCACATGGGTAGGTCGGCACACTGGCTCTGCAATAGCCACCAAGAAGTCTTGGGCATATTTGTAAACTGGAGAGAAGGCTTCCAAGAAAATGTGGCCATCAGGAGCCTGAGAAACACCAAGTGAACACAACAGACAAGAATATTAGTGAGTTGCAGAGACTATCATTATCAAAGAAGGATAAGCTATACGATGCTAAAGCTATTCTTGCAAGCAATCCTACAGGCAATTGTGGATCCTGCTACTTTAATCAGATACAGGAGAGTACAGAGAAGAAAGATTTCCCACTATTCCATATACAGTGGACCTGAGTTCAGATCCCCAGCACTCAAATAAAAAGCCAGGAAGGGCAGTGTATATCTGTAACCCCAGCACTGGGGGACAGAAAGATGGAGAGGGAGGGCTCACTGGTCAATCAGTCTAGACATATCAGGGAGCACCACAAATAAGATTAATTAGTGATTAAAGAGGACAACCTGACATCAATCTCTGGCCTCTATACCTGCCCCATGAGTGAGTACACCTGCGCCGCGCACACACACAAAATGAACGTTAACATGTTAACATTCATGGGGGGGGGTGTGTGTGTGTGGTGTGTGTGTGTGTGTGTGTGTGCGCGCGCGCTCACAACCTATCATGGTATACTTATGGAGGTCCAAGGACAATTTGAAGGTGTGTCAGTTTTCTTTCTACTATGCGAGTTACGAGCATAGAATTCGGGTGGTCTGGCTTGACAGCAAGAGCCATCTCAGCAGCCCATAAACGCTACCTGTTAGACAAATAAGGATATTTTCCATTATGTGTATATTCTCCATTATATGCATAGGGAGAGTGGGAGTAAAAGGGTTAAAAATGGAGCTGCCCAGGCCAGGTCACCACATAGGTGTACAGCTGTTCAAACATGTGCGTATTATCAGCTGCTTCAGAAGATCAGTGTCCTGCATTCCTGCATTTTGGAGGTCCCAGAATGCCCAACGTTTAGCTGCTACCCAGACTTTAGGGCCCTGCCTGGCTTTCACCACGCTTACCACCCAGAGGGGCCTAGAAGTGTGGTCGCCCTTCAGCGGCATCTGCAGCCTGTAGTCCTTGGCTCCGTATTCATCCACTTTGGTGCCAGACTCATCCACCTGTTTCCCGGCGGCCGAGGGCACAGCCTCCTGGGACTCATTCCCAGGCGCGTCGTCTTCATCTTCCTCCTCCTCGTAGTGCCTCTTCTTGGACTTCTTCTTGTCTGCAGAGAGACACACAGAAGAAGTGAGGCCAGCAGCGTTCTAACTAAGGGTTCCTCCGCACTGGACAGGAGCACTTCACCAGAACCTGAGAGAACTCCTAGGTGAGTGCCACTTGTATCCCTACATCCCGTAGGTGTCGGGCCCTTCCATCACTTCCCACCCGGGCGGGTTCGCAGAGCTGTGTCTAGGTCTCGCATCTCCAGAGCCCCATGGGCCGACTCGGAGAAAAACAGCGCTGCAGCGATAATGACCGCTGCAGAGAGTCCTCACCACGGTCCGCTCGGTCTCTTTTGCCCATGGCAGCAACAACTGGACGTCGCCAGCAAAACAAACCGCACAAGCTCCGCAGCTGACACTTTCAGAGAACTTCCGCTACACACCGGAAGCGCAGCACCCCAGAGGAAGTCCCGCCTCGGAAGCCTTGGCCCGGGGGAGGGTGGGGCCACAAAGGCCAAGTGCAGGCCTGTAGTGAGTGCGCCTGCGCGGGCTTTTCAGCCTCTTCACTCCAGGGTTTACAGCCTTCTTCCGCGACCTGTAGGGTGCTTGGGTCGCTGATGTTCAACTGTAACAAGTTAGGCCTGGTCCTCACGGATCGTGCGCCACCTCACCTGGCTTCTGGAATTTAAATTCTAAAGGAGAAAAGTGAGAAATAAACATGGTGTTAAATGCGCTGAGGGAAAATAGCAATGATTGTGGCAGGTAGGTAAGAGTCGCCCTGGCTGGGGATTGGTTCAATTGGTAGAATGGTTGTCTACCATTCGCGAGGTCCTGGGTTCCATCCCTAGCACATAAGCCAGGCTTGTTATCTCATGCCTGTAATTCCAGTACACTGGAGGTGGAGGCAGGATGATATAAAATTCAGAATACAAGAGACCATGTCTCCAAAAACTACCAAGAGTGGCCCTGGAATACAGCTCTGAAATAATTATTTGAGCAAAGATCTGAAAGGATAAAAAGTGCCCTGTGTGAACACCAAGGCAGAGAGCATAAGGTGAGACCCATACATGGTAAGCTTGGGAACCCCAAGCGTAAACATAGCAAACTGGTTAAAACAGATTATAAAGGCAAATGCAAAGTATTTGGCCACATGCCATAGATAATGAATCAAAAAGCCTGGGGTGGGTAACCATATTACCCTCCTGGAGATTCTGTTGCTCAACTTAGAGAACTGATGTAAAGCCTTGCAGGTATGGCAAAAACTTTGGATGCTGTTATGAAATGAGAAGCCACTAGAGACATTTAAGTAGGAAAATGAGCCTGGAGCTAGGGAGGTGGCTCAGTAGGTAAAGTGCTTGCACAAGCATGAGAACCTGTGTTAGGATCTCCAGCACGCACAAAAGATGCTGTAGCTGTGTGGCCTTGTTAACATCAGCGCTGGGAAGGTAGAGACAGGAGGATTGACAATTGAAGAAGACAGGACATCAACCTCTGACCTCCACATGCTCATTCAAGGGTCAGTACACCTGCTCAGGTGCACATATAAACACACACACACACACACACACACACACACAGAGTGACAGTCTGATTTCATATTAAAGGATCGCCGTATATTCTGATTGATGTGTTGAAGATCGATTTTAAAAGGTCCAGGGTAGCTATTTTCCCAGTCCAGTTGAGAAACCAAAGACTTTATTAGGTTTTACTTACAGGTGAAAGTGATGAAAGATGGTTGCATTCTGAATTTATTTTGAAAGTGAAATGGATGAGATTTGGACTGAGATAGTATGGAAAGTGGGAAAGAGAAATAAAAGATACCCACGATTTTTGGCTTGAGCAAATATTAAAATTCAGTACCTTAGGGGAAGTTTCAGATTTGGAAGATGATTTGGGACAAATCTGTACTACTCTGTTCTGTTTTCCGTAACAAAATGCCACAGGCTCCTTGAAACAGCAAAAGTTAAAAACTATTAAAACAGAAGGGGGAGGAAGGAGCTAGCAAGAAAGAGAGCCAGTGGTAATGGAAAATAACAAAGTATAATGGAAAATAACAGTATAGCCTTAGATATATGTGATGTTGCAATGAAATCCACTAAGCTAACAAAAAACGAGGACAATGTAGAATTGAAATATTGAAAGGGGGGCTGGGAAGATGATTCAGGTACAGTGCTTCTATGTAAACATGAAGACCCGAGTGTGTATTCCCAGAGCCCACATAAAAAATAAGGCTGGCCTGGTGTGATCCCAGCACTGAGGCAAAGACAAAGGGGATCCTAAGAGCTCACCGGCCAGCCAGTCTAATCAGTGAGCTCCAAGTTCAGTGAGAGACCCTCTTTCAAAAACTAAGGTTGAAGGGATTGGAGAGATGGATTAACAACCATCTGCAACTCCAGTTCCAGGGGAGCCAACACCTTCTTCTGGCTTCTGGAGGCATTGCATGCACCATACATACAGGCAAAACACTCTTACACATAAAACATTTTTTAACAACAAAAAAAGCCATGAGTGGTGAAGCATGCCTTTAATCCCAGAACCTTGGAGGCAGAAACAGGCAGATGTCATGAGATTAAGCCAGCCTGGTCTACATAGCAAGTTCCAGGCCAGCTGTGGCTACAGGGAGATCCTGTCTCAAAAAACAAAAACAAAAAATAAAAAAAAACAGAAAGTAAAGTGGGGTGGGGGAGATGGCTCAATGGATAAAGCACTTGCTACACAAGCATGAGGACCAGAGTTTGGATCCCCAGCACCCATGCAAAAGCCAGGTGGGCTTGGCCCAGTGCTCATAATCCCAACATGCGAGACAGATGGGACCCTGGAGCAAGCTGGCTAGCTAAATCAGGGCACTCTGGGTTCAAGTGAGAGACCCTTTCAACACAGAGTAACCGAGGAAGACACCTGCACATATACACATGCAAACACACACACACACAAATGAGTGTTGGAGGAAAACACTTGACATCAACCTCTGGCTTCAGCAAATACACAAAAATAAACCATCATGGGAAGGTCAGTTGAATTTATGGACTTTTCCCTTTGGTTTATGCTGTTTCTGAGTCTCTTGGACAAGTTGTCCCATTTCTGACAAAAACTGGTTAGTGGCCATTTTCCTTGTCTGTCAGGAGCCTCTGCTGGGCATTCAGCTTTGTATTCTGTGGGCTAAGCAGGTTCTCTTACCCTCTGGAGACTTCCCAGATTGTACCCCCTGGCATAGCTGTTTCAGCTGCATGTGCAAGTGTGTGTGTGAGCATGTGTGTGTGTGTGGGGGGGTGTTGGGATATCTCCCATATTCAATGGGAATGTGGAAAGCAATCACAGCACTGTAATCAGTACTGCAGAGGACATGCCTCCATACTTTCAAAGTCTTCTGAATATTAATCACACTACTGGAGGGATGCAGCTGTAGCTATCAAGTGCATCCCTGTGCTTCAGAGTTCTTGGGCTCTAGAGCAGTGATCCACAGATAGGTGGCTCCACAATTGGATTCAACCAATGGCCTCAGCCTCAGAGCTATCAAACTCCTGGGTTATTTTCACTTGATCTATTCTCAGATCACCTAGGGCAGGGTTCTCTCTTCCTATTTGCTTCCCAGATCTAGCCAGCCTCCTTCCACCTGTACCCTTCAGTTTAGCAGTGTCTAGCCCTGCTGCTCTCTATAACTGCCTCTATGGGCCTTCCCTCATGCAAGGGCTGTGCTAGGCTCGGTATCTGTGGATATTCCTTGATCTCAAGACCTTGAGGTACCTCAGATTTTAGAAATGGATTCTCTCTCAAGATGGCACCTGGAGTCATACAGTGTGACAAAATGGGATTTCTCTCCTCCCTTTGATCTGTCCTCCAATGGGATCATTCTCACTAAAACTTGCAAGTGGATTTGAGGCTTAGGTAAGGGCTGAGTATGTCCTGAGGGTAGACTATCTAGCTTTCATTTGACTTGCCTTTTCTAAGTAGCTTCTGAATCCCATCTCTCCACCCCTACCCCCCATAGGGAACAGCACAAGTGAGGCTGTATCCAAGTATAGCTGCTTTGGCTCTTCCCCATTATCCCTTGTAGATTTGCAAAGCATTTCCTCTATTTCTCTCTTTAAAGTATTTTTTCTTATTCTGAATTACTTTCACTGGAAGTCTTGGATTTTTTTTATTAGTGTATGTGGTGTGTGTGTTTGTGTGTGTGTGTGCATGTGTGCCACTGCATATGTGATCAGAAGACAACTTAGTTCTCTCCACTGTTCTGGAGATCGAACTTAGGTTGACACACTTGTAATATCAAGCGTTTTACCCCCTAATCTGTCTCCTCAGCCCTCTAGGTTTTTATTTTTATTTGCTTTGATTTTATCCATGAGTGTTTTGCCTGCAAGTATGTAAGTACACATGTGTGTGCAATGTCCCTAGAGGCCCAGAAGAGGGCATCAGATCCCCTGGAACTACAGTTATGGATAGTAGTTAGCCACCATATGGGTGCTGGGAAGTGAACATGGGTCCTTTGTAAGAGCAGCCAGTGCTCTTAACCACTGAGCCATTTCTCCAGCCTCTCTGTGTTTGCTTTGAATCACCACTACCTTCAATGGACCATCATGTGCTCAAAGATCTACTAAAGAAAACTGCATGGAACATTACAGGTTTAGACACTGAGAAGATTCCACTTAGTTTCAGAGTTACTAAGTAATTCTGTGCTAGGTCTCCCAGAGAATAGTCAAGTCAGGCAAGAAGGGATATCTGTACACAAACACACCATGTTCAAGAACATATCTAAACAAACCAATCACAGTGGAAATAAATACCAGCTTTATTAACACTCAAAGTGCCATTCATTTATATTCATTCCATAGTCCAGGTTAGAGTGAGCCTCTGCATCACAATCTTTTCAAAAAATGAACATGGAAGAAAAAGTATGTTTCACTGTGCTAATTATCACAGGCCTTCATGCACAATAAATCTAAACAAAGATGTGTCAATGATATACAAACTGCCATACAAAGTCATTGATCACTAACAAAATATAAACATGGTTTATTTATATTAAAATTTTTAAAAAGCTATTTACCAGCAAAAAAAAATACATAGAAATTATAAAAGTCAGGAATTTACACATTTTTTTTTACAAGCACAATTTTGAATGAAACACAAATCCTAAATGTGCATGAAATGTAGCACATACCACACTGTTTCTGGCTTCTGGTAGGTTCTAATCACAAAGGTTCTCTTTAACATAATAAACTTAGTGATACTCAACTTCAACAGTGGACTTTATTCCTAATACAAATAATTTTACATGATACCACATATTAAAAACAAGGTTTTCATTAAATACAGTAACACTGTCAGATTGGAAACCAAACTTCCAACTCTTTTTCTGCCAGTTGCTTAAAACACATAGTACAATATAAACACACAGTGTACGTTTGGATATTCCTAACCCAATTGGCAGTCAATTATAAAGAATCACAATATGCCAATGTATTGTTTCTTAAACCCAGTCTGACCTTGCCAGATAAGGGAAAAACTAAAGTTTGAAAACTTTGGCAATAAAGGAAATATATTCAAAATTAAAGATAGGACAGGCCTAAAGCAAATGGAGATATAAAAAGCTTGACATCTCTCCAAGACAGTTTAGTTTCTCATAATAGCTCTGAGATGCCAAAGGTCATGTTAGTGGACAGTGTGTTTTGCTACTGCTTAAAACCTACCTCCCTCTTCAAAGCTTTTCCTTTAAGAGTATATTAACTGAGCTCTAAGTAAAATCTGTATCCAATTCTGGAAATACAAATGCATCTTGAATGGTTAAAAACAAAATTAAAAAAATAATTCTGATCAGCCAGCTGAAAATATATCCAATATAGTAAATAATCTCTCAGAAAGCTTTTATATATATTTAATTATCCTAACTAAATAGTACCCTTATAAAATAAGTTCATAAAAGTGTAGAAATGAAATGAAAATAAGAATTTACTGATATATACATGTGCCTACACACAAAGGACATTTTCACACAAATACACACACATTCCTTATACACACAGAATACTTTAAACTTAGTAACTGATTCAGAATACAGTATAAAATTAGGAAGCAACACTGAACTCCTGAGTTCTTCAACAAAGACAGAACCATAGACAGGTAACTTTGTAAAAGCAAGGCCCTTTAACTCAGTCATAGCAGTGCAGTAACTGAGGGCTACATCTGGAAAGAAGGTCAAACAGAGACACAGACAGTAGTTCAATGCACGCATTCATGATTCGCAGACACACAACAATTATTGGTCATATAAATCAGTGTACAAATTAAACATTTCCAAAAATGTGCAAAAAAGTCAACCTTGATAGGATTAAAACAAAAATCTTTGTACATAAACTGCCTAGTATTCAACTGAGATTAAAAACATTTACTGAGAGAAACTAATGTGTTAAATATAAAGAATTTAATGGCTACATTTTAAAATGCACATTAAGTCAAAGGGTAAACTTACAAATTGATAATCATAGTTTGCAAGTTCAAAGTTTATTTTCAAATTTATCCAAGTTTATTTTTATTTACAATGAGTAAAAACAACCACAAGAAATATACGAGATGTCAGACAGTAAAAGTATTTTTGGTATTAACTTTTTAAGGGTATTTCAAAATGCAGTATAGTAAATTTTAAAACCAACAGCAATAGAAGAAATGTAAACCTTTTACTTACTAAGTATTAAAACAACTGTTTGTCTTTAAGAAGTATTCTCATCCCTAGCCACTGGAGTTTTAATTGTAAAGGGTATATAGCACGGGTTTGGCCCACTTTCTTTCGCCAGTAAGACTTAACAGCTCCTACGTTTCCAACCAGTCTACTTTCCTTATTACAGGTGGTTGGGGGGAGTCTTTGGAAAAATGAGAACATGTCAAATCCATTCTGGAGTCTAAGTATCTAATAGAAACTTTAATATGTAATTACTTATCTCTCCCTTCTAAGTAATGCTAAAAATCACTAGTTACATATGTTTTTTTTAAAGTTTTAAAAAAGCATAAATAAGTGAACACAAAAGTGCTTTTCAGTATAGTCATAAACTTAACTCTCAACTGGCATTAAAAGATTAAAAAATCCTTAGCTAGAGACAAATTCTGCACATTTTAAAGAACTGAAGAGCAGACACTTCCTTATGTTCTAAATGTCTATGGCACAAAGCAGACATCAGTTCATAACCTACTTTTTTTCACAGCATTGCTGAAATGCCCCTCAAGTCAATCACAAGCTCATAAATATTAAGACACTAAGAAGAAAATACCAACTGAGGCATCAGATGTTAATGAATCTACATGCATCAGTGGTCAAGAGACATTAATAAGATTGGCACACATATAAGCTTAAGTCTGCGAATATGTACATAGCTCCACAAGAGTTGAATTCTGCATGTCTAGATGCCAACACTGAGCACCTGTCCTTTTTCTTGAAGGATACACTGGCACACAAATTCTACTAGTATCTCCTTTAGATTTATACACTATTAGCTTACACATAGCCAGATGTAACAGGAGTAATCATTTTGGCTGTGTGCAGGGAATATAAAAACTTTGGTTTAAAATGATTCTGGTAATACGGACTAAGATTCAAATAAGTCAGAATTCAAATAAGGCAGAGGGACTAAGAATATTTACTTATTTAATGCCTTTGCTCTTAGGAATAAAAATACCCCATGACTGTCAATTAAAATACACAAATACAAAAAGCATGAAGAATTATGAGAGATTGTATACTGGCAATGGATACAATTTATTCTTTTCTTTACTATAGCTATGACTCCTCCCTTGCCTTCCTGAAGTTCAGTCTTGACCACTCTCACTACCTCTGAAAAAAAGAAATGTCTAGGTTCCTCTGAGTGCTTATTATTACCTCCCACTCCGAAAGGTAAGAATGGAGAGAAGGATGGCCCTGGCACTTCCCACACCTGTCATGGTATACTGTCCAGACTGTGACAAAAGTCAAAGCAACATTAAATACGACTATGAAGTAGGAACAGTGGCTTCACAGCACACCTTCCCTAGCCAACCAAAAAGAGGTATAAGATTTCCTTTTGAATACTTGGTAAGCTAAGGAAGCTTGTTTAGATAATGTCTGGCAGAATTTCTATTCCAAAAAGTTCATGAAGAAATATCTAAGATCAATTACTTTCTATTTAAGAATTATATATAAGCTCATTATTACACACACAAACACACAAGTTGAATTTTAGTCTACTTTTAGCAACTAAGAGCTTGGCAATTTACAATAAATACCTGTATTAAGCCATCACTTGCACTAGCTACTTACGGAACATGTACTGTTGCGCCTACTCTATGATGGCTGCTCTCACCCCATGAGTAGCTCAAACATTTTTCAGTCGTTCTACCCAGAACAGAGATAGATCTAACTGAATAACCACAACTTTCCTCCCTTCCTTCCTATCCCTGCCCTGACTCCAAACCTCTCCCCCACTACACACACACACACACACACACACACACACACACACACACACACACTCACTCACTCACTCACTCACTCACTCACTGAAGAGTAAGCTAGAGTATTAGTCAAAATGTTAAACACTATGGGTTAGAATGAGTTCTTGCTGGATTTCTTGCTCAGTGCCCTAAGTCTCACTGCCTCAACATTTCCAAATCATTTAAAGGAGTTCTTTAGGGCAAAACCAACCACCATAGTTCTGCTATAAATATCACAACTGAACCATGACACACAAAGAACTCAGACAGTGCCAATGTGATTGAAATATCAAGTAATTAAACCAAAAAAAAAAAAAAAACAATTACTATGTCTTTTAGAATGAGAATACCTTCCTATGCTTATTTTAAGAATTCATGTCTAGTAGAGATTGCAGTCAGATAAATGCTGTTTCTCTCCTAACATTTTTTTTTTTTTAAAGAGGAGGTAGAAAGGGTAGGAGGAGGAAATAAGCATTAAGAAATGCATAGGGGCCAACACACAGTCTAAGGCCAAAAGAACTCTTGAGGCCTAGTGATTTTGGAAAATTTATCATTTTGTTAGGCTAACTTGAATTGGAAATATAAAATAAAATTAAGGCATATAGAGAAAAAGGCACTACTAAAAATTAACAAATTGTTTTCCATTAATGTTTAACCAATGGTAAAAAAAATAAAATAGTAACACTACATCTAAAATCATCATCAAATTTAATGATAATACAATCTCAAAAAGTTGTTCTGATCTTAGTATAAAAAACACTTGACAAGAGGTCAACCTGTATTAAATATTTTCGGTATTTCCATACCTTAAACCAAATGAAAGTTTTTTTTCTTTTAAAAGAAGCACTTGGGGTTAGGGGGAACACCACAACACTGTTAAGGAATAAATGCTTCTTTTTCCTGGGCTTATCTTGGGGCTGTGCTGTGTAATGGGGGGGGGGGACTGAGAAGCCATCTGATCTGGCATGGGGGTGTCCCTCTTAATGTGCAGACATTCTTATACTAATCCTTCTTGTTGATGTTTTTGGAGTTTAAAAAACCCAGTACCCAAAACTGCTTTCTCATTATTTCACATTAAAAAAAAAAATCAGTATTTCAAATATCACAGCTAAATTTTCAGTTAGGGTATGCCATAAAATAACTGTCTGCACATGTTCTTCCTAGACTGTGACTTCCTGAAGAATGCTAATTTGTCACAATTATTGAATAAGCAAATGAAAAACATTGATTCAATTTTAAAGAAAATGGACAAAGCTAGATGTGGTGGCATGTACCTATTTTCCCAACAACTGAGAGGTGGAGGCAGGAGCACTTCAACTTCCAGGCCAGCCTGGAACACATAGTGAGAATCCTGAGTCCAAAAATACAAACTGAAATGAAAGAAGACAGAGATTTGTATATTTGACTGACTTTAGCTAAATTTATGTAAAGGTATTGGTTCCCAGACAACAAATGAAACCACTGGCATGAATGCCATGCATCAGGCTAGGTCATCCTGCCTACCTATTTTGGTTTGGTTTGATTTTCTTAGTGATTTCACATATCTTACAACTCTGTCTCATAAACAGTACAGATCACATCTGACCAATGTCAGAACTGAGTAGCAGAAAGCTATTCTAGAGTTGTACTTTTACGCTTTTTATGTAATTTCTATTGGGAATAAGGTAAAGACTCTCAAATCAACGTCAATTTAATGTTTTGAAATACAAGTTTTAATTTCTCTTATACTTCATCATGTGCAATAATATTCAGTTTTTCATATGTTATAGATGGGTAATTGAGCCTCTTAAAACTTTCTAAGGCAACAGTCTTAGATGTTTTTAAAATTAGAAACATTTTGTAAACAAGGAAAAGTGCTGAAAATTTTCAAGACACTCATTCTGAAAATTTCAAATTCTGCATAACACTAATAAATTTTAAAGAGTTACTAATCCATCAAAATTTCCATGATTATGATGATATTTTTCAACTCTTTTATTCAACCACTTTTGTTTCCAATACTTGGCCCAATCTGAAGTCATGGACTTTGTACCTCTCAAGGCCTAGATAGAAAGGTCTTTCCTGAAAACACATCTCAGACTGCTACAGTGAATCTTCTCCAGCACCAAAGTCTGCCACTGGCAAAGCAGGATACATTTTAAAGGCACAAAGTCAGCAGTCTGGCCATTTTCCAGCCCCAGAAAAGAAACATTACAGTACCCCAAAAATCAGCTGTGCATTAAAAAAAAAAATATGTTGACATTTTTAAAAGTTCAAACTTCATTTGTTAATTCATATCATTATTAGACAAAAAAATGGAGAATATTTTACTTCCTTTGATAATAGGTTTCCTTTCAAAATATTCTTTTGTACATTTACTATTGGTCTTCCATGTCCCCTACCCTACTTCAAGCTTTTGTGTTCTAGTACATTTTTTTTTAATATATGAACTTTTGCTGTGGTTTTTGGTACCTTCACGAAACTGGTCTAAAATAAATTCACATTATAGTCTATATATATAACTGCAAACTATTAGTCTATTTTTAAGTCTTTACATAAAGAACATTATTTTCCAATAGCTAATTGTATTTTTCTTATAAAGCAAAAGTATTCCACAGCAGTGTTAAAGTAGTAGTTGCTTTTCAGATGCCTTCATTTTCTATAGAATTCAGAAAGAGACTGAAAAAGCTAACAATTTGCTTTGAGTTTCCATCTCTGCAGATATCTCTCTGAAGCACATTTGTCTCTCTTCTGCACTGCTATTACTTGACAGATCAAAACTGAGCCAAAGAGAAAGCACAACCACACCAGAGACACAAGCAAAAGGAAAATGGTTGTGGTCCAGATACCATGATCTTGCTCAAGTAGAAAAGACGCCCTCACTCATAAAAGATAAAGAAATTATAATAGACTCACACTCTTGGGAATTAGGTTTCCAGCATAAGATTAGGCAGTTGATCTGCTAAGGCGAGAGGTACCTGATGCTTGCTCTTTGTAAAGGGCTTCCCTTGATTTTCAGTGTATGGGAGAAGTGTTAACTAATTTTGTGCTTTGACTCTCAGACTAGTGTAATTTCAATTATGATTATAGGGAATGTCAGGTAGGATCTTGACAGAATGAACCTAGATCTATATAACTTCAGAAACAAAGTACTTTAAAAATCCCTAAAAAAACATGTAACAAAAAGTAAGAATATCTTAATCCCTTATGATAAAAGGTATCACATTTAAGGTATCCCGGAAGACCATTATTTTCTAAACCTTTGAAAATAAAGTACTTAGCACTTATTTAATTTGCTGAAAAATTAGCAAGTGGCCAAATTACTGAAACCCTCATGTTTTTCAAGGCTCATAATTCTACTAGATACAGTGGAATCTTCCCCCGCTTAGCCTTTCCATTTATGATCTGGCTCTAAGTGGATACTTACATTGGAAATATCTGGCAGTGTTTTAACCTTCTTGCTGGTAGTAAACACTTTGTTTTCATATGCTTTTCTTGGCCCACAATGATGAGCTGACTTTAAGGAAAAAATATACAGAGATGCTAAATTCAAAAGGTTCAGTATACAAATTCATTGTTTCTAAAATGGAAGAGTCAGTGATTGGGCGAAATATGCAGCTGGTAAAGAACTGATTTGTTATCTGCTGTGTGTTGAGATCATCTGCTCCTGACTATCTGCTATCTATCCACTCTTATGAAACCCTCATTTACACTACATCTTTTCCCTCTGAAATTGCCTTTACTGCTTTGTGAATGACTGCTTTCAGCTTATAATCAGGACTGGCCGTTACATCAGGGTTTTTCAACCTAGGCACTTTTGACATCCGGGGCAGGATAATTCTTAGGGAGGGGGATCCTCATATACTATAGTCTATTTAGCAGCACCCCCAACTTCTACCCACTAGATGACAGTAGTATCTTTCCAGTCATGGCAACAAAGTGTCTCCAGGCATTGCCAAATGACAAGTGAAGTAAAATTAAAATTATCCACCCCCCTTTTACTGTTTTACCTGATGTTTGCTCTTCTGAGGTGCCTTTAGTTCAGTATTCTATGATCCCAAGAACACGGGTTTTATTTTATCAAATGACACTAGCTTTAAAACATGGAAATTTGATTCCTAAAGACTGTTACCTATGGGAAATCAGGAACAAGAAATAGGAAGATAGTATACACAATTTTTATTATTTCTTAATTCCCTTAATTTTGGGACTTTCCCCCTCAAGTAAAGAATGTTTAAAATACACTAAATAACACTTGGTTCTTTTTTCGCATTATTTCTACTTGCTGGCAAATATGGTCTCTTACTGCTCACACATTTAATGAGCAATCTTCTTTTGTCTTTTAGCTGAATTTACACACTGACTTCCTATATCTGCTTTCAAATACAAATAGCATTTTTTAAGCAGAAAACTATCCCTCAAGGTTTATAGATTCCAGTAACATGGACCTATTATAGTGTATTTTCTTATTATACTGCTTCAAATTAACAAACATACCTCTTACAGATTCTTCTATTTAAGATTCCTACTGAGCAAAAAAGCTTGGTAGACAAGAGGTCAGGATCTAAAGAATACAGATATAAGAAGGAACCTATATTCTTTAAGTTGAGTACCTACCCTAAACTCAAGTTTAGGGCTCAACCCTACAAATGAGGATCTATTTAAATACTATCACTAAAATCTACAAATTGTACATCATTTTCTTGTCCTTATCTTCCATGCCTTCCCATCACCAATATGTCAGTGATACAGGGAAAGACTACAATCTTTATATATTCCAAATGATTTGTTTGTACTAAAAAGAGTGACTATGTACTAAAGTGCTTTGTCTCTCTCAACCACGTAAGTACATTATAAAAATTAAAAAAAAAAAAAAGACGTCATTTCAAGTTCTTGTAAGGGAAAAAAGATTAAATATAAAAAATTTAGGTTACTATTATTATTAAACAAATTTAACCAAGAATCAAGAGAAATATTTCCCTCTTGTCTTTTTCTCCCCATCTCTCTTTTTTTATAAAAAAAGAAAAGTGCAGTCAGAGAGAAGGTGAACTTGCAGATGGAGCTGGTGGAGGCACAGGAGAGGCTGCTGGCTGCTAGTGATAATGCACAAACACGTGCCGTAAGAGCTCCTCGGCTGACGGTCTCAGCTTGGCCTCTACAAAAATCCGTTTGAGGAAGTCTCGAGTATAGTCTGAGACATGAGGTGGCAGCTTTGGGTTTGTTGGCTGAGTGGCAATCTTAAAGATGGCAGCCATTGCTTCAAATTCAGCCCAAGGTGGCTTTTCAGTTAGCATTTCTACCACAGTACATGCTACACTCCTAAAAAAGAAATAATAAGAAGCATTACTTAACAAATAACATCAGGAAGAAAGCTGATTAGTCAGAAATATGAGAAACTTGGGTTAAGTCCACAGACACTTCAATAATGCTTATTTCAAATACAAAGTTTCATTCATAGAACTGCAGTTCAAATATGAAAATAAATGAAAGGCTGAGGATGCAGGTCAGTGGTAAAACACTTATCTAGTCTGCGCAAGGGCCCAGGGTTCCACACCCAGGACCAATCAGTGAAAATATACCATAATTTAACTATTACCACAAATATATGGTAGGCAAAGAATAATATTATTCTTGTATTAGATTATTTTCTAACCTAATAGTTTTTGTCTCTGTCTTACAAAGAATATAAACATAAACTGCTCACTCAAGTACCTAAAACGAACTTCCACTAATTTTTTTTATCTGACTGAAAGTGGGAAATGGCTATTTTATGTTCTAACTTAAAATTATTACAATCTGTTAATTAAACTTTAAGACACTGACAACTAAACACAAAGACCCTGCCACAACAGGGCTCTTACAGAGGTACAGGCACCAGCACAATTTCTTTTCCTCACCTGGAAGACTTGCAGATACCTTAACTCATCCAGAATCCAACAATGTTTATCCTAAGCATATTATGAAAACATCACATATGCCGACATGACATCACCAGTACAGCAGCAGTTCTTATTGCTACCAAGTAAGTATCAATTTATCATAAATACAGTATTTGAGGTTCAATATATTTGTTAAATCTGATGTTGTAATCCAAACATAGTTGAGCTACTGTTCTTCAAAACACATACACAGAAATTAAATGATGACCCATTTAGAACTGTACTGTTTCACTGCCAAGGTTTTACGAATTTAAGTGAATTTCCCTGTACAATATAAAATTTCTGGAGTCTAACATGTCCCAGTCTGTGGTGGTGGTAGTGGTGGTGTGTATGTGTGTTAGGGACGGGTAGTTGTGGACAGGAGGGATAAATTAATTTCCTCAGGTGATCTCATAATCCACTTGCACCCCAATCATTGTCTGCAGCATCAACTGTCTCATGCATTTAACTAGTATTATCTTTTCAAATGTGTGTGTGTGTGTGTGTGTGTGTGTGTGTGTGTGTGTATAAAACTTTGGTTGAAAAAAACAAATTCCCTTTTTTAAACATTTTGTTATTTTTATTTTATATGTATAAGTGTTATGGCTGCATGTATGTAAGTGCACCCATGTTGGGCAATGCTCACGGAGGAGAGAAGAGGCTGTCAGATCCCCTGAAAGTGGAGTTACGGACAGCTGTTAGCTGCCATGTGGGTGCTGGGATTCGAACCCGGATCTTGTGCAAGAATAGTCAGTGTTCTTAACCACTGAACCATCTCTCCTGCCCTGATTCCCTTTTTTAAAAAAGAAGACACTAATGACTTTTAAGTTATTCGGGGAAATAAGAGCTTTCTAATGTTAAAGTTTGCTTAAGACAAAACTTCCTCCTAAAGAAGGGAAGATAGGCTCAAAGACTCAAATATTTAGTCAACTTAGGCTTAACAAGACATAATCAAGATGGCATTAATCCTTATAATTCATGTATCTTGTTTCAAAAGCACAAAAGATAATTTAAAACTAGCGATTTTAACTATGGTTAGAACTTCTAAGAAGGTAAATTTTCAGGCAAATCTGACATCCAAACCTACCAGATATCTGCTTTTCTGCCATAGCCTTCTCCACTAATGACTTCAGGACTCATCCAGTATGGTGTGCCTGTGGCTGACTTCATTCCTGTGCCTGACAGACAGATGGTCTGAAGCCGCTTGCTGGCACCAAAATCTCCTAGTTTGACATTGCCTGTTGAATCCCGTAAGATATTTGCTCCTAAAAATGAGAAATAGCCTTATTTTAATGATTCTACTGGCATTCTAGAATAGAGTATAAAAGACAAGTGGCAGGGATTTACTTCATAGATTCTGTTACTTTGTGTTCTCTCCCAGCAGGGCCTGGCATGCCACCAGTCACAGAAAATTCCATTTACCTTTCATTAAGGATTTGCTGTGAACATTACTCAGCTGGGTACACTTCAGGACTTAATTGGGTTAGACTACTGTAAAGGATGGATGAGGGCAGGTAAGGAGAAGAGAAAGGGAAAAGGGGTAAGAGTGAAACTTGGTAATGCACCAAGAAAGGCTCTTGGCTCCACTTCTTTGCCATAAAACAAAAAGTCCATGGCTGAGGATTATTTCATGGATAAGCCAGTTTCTCCTCAGGAAGTTCCAGAAGGACATTAATCATCAAAAATTCTAGCATCTAGTCCTCTCCCAATATTACTTAAGCATTAGTTACCCTGAATCTTAAGGTGTGGCTTTTCTGTTGTTGTTTTGTTATGTTTTTAAGTCAAGACCTTCTTACATAGTCCAGGCTGATCTCAAACTTGAGATCCTCCTGGCTCAGCCAGCACCATGCCCTAACTCTTTTTTTAAAAATCATTTCTATAAAAGAGGGTCAAGAGTGGAAAAGTCTGGACTACAGGCCATAGAGAATAAAGAATCTCCATCCTCACCTTGAGTTTTATTTTCCCAGCAAATCCCCAGCTTCACTCTAGCCTTGTGGTACACCTGGTACACTTCCTTACATGCAAGCAAAACACTCCTACATATAATTTCTTTTTAATTTTTAAAGGGTTTTTATCACACCTAAGAAGATAATTTATTAATATTATCAAACATTATATGTGTTCACGTTTCTCAACAAAAAATAACCAATCCAAATAAGATCCATACATGGAGACTCACTGATACATTATGTTTTAAAGTCTTTCCTAATCTAAGTCTCTCAAGTCTTACACATACTCCCCCTTTTGCTATTTGTAAAGGAACTGCTGCTTGCCTATAGTTTTCTCATGGTTTAGATTTTGTTAACTGCATCACAACAAACTAATCTTCTTATCTGTTATTCATATATATATGCCAAACTATTGTGCATACATTACATGTGTCCTAGTTGTGCTTGGTGGCACACATCTGTAATCCCAGCACTAAGGAGCCTGAGGCAGAAGAATAATTTGTTCCAGGTCAGCCTGAGTAACACAGCAAGACCCTATCTCAAAAAAATGTGCCCTAGCTGGGCATGGTAGCTCATACCTATAATCTCAGAAACCAGGAAGCCAAGGCGGGAGGACTGTGGGTTTGAAACCAGCGTGGTTAACAGTGAGACACTGCTTCAAATAAATGAAAAAAAAAAATTCAAGCGCTGGGGAGATGGCTCAATGGTGGGTAAAGATGCTTGCTTTGCAAGCATGAGGATCTGTGTTCAGATCCCCAGCACCTACATAAAAGCCATGTGTGGCTACATACACCTGTAACCCCAGAGCTTGAGGAGAGGGTGGAGACAGAAGGATATGGCTAGTACTCCCTGGCTGGCCAGTCTACTGAAAATGGTGAGCTGTGGGTTCAGTTAGACCCTGTCTCAGGAGAATAAGGTAGACAGCAATAGAGTAGAACACTCACTGGCCTCCTCTGGCTTCTGTGTGCATGTGTACAGGCATGTGCACCCTCATACACACACACACACACACACACACACACACACACAGGCATGCATACACAAACACACATACTAAAATCATTAGAAAAACGACAGGTGTCCTTTCATTCACTATTTGGTCTTCAACATTATAGTTCCTCAAAGGTGGGGAAAAAGACAGTATAGAAGAATAAACTTTAGAAGTAGTAAGTTAATTTCCTAGTCATAATTATCAGCTCACAAGTTTCATTATGAACCCACAGGTTTGAAGTTATACCAAATCAATTATCCTTCCCTTTCATGCCCCTCCATTTGACCAAGGTGGTTCATCAACTTGTAAGAGCTCCAAGGAAGATCAAAGAGTAATATATTATACAAGCACATCTCTACCACTCACTTGCTTCATGTATTCTGTAACTGAAGGCCCTGAAAAGGGTAAGCCTCCGCTAGTTGGTCTTGGGATCTTTCCTTCCCTCCTCTTTATTCTTTTCCTAAATAATGACATTTATTCCCATAACTTTAAATACAATTTTAAAATAAAGAAGGTCATCACTTTAGCTAACTTTTGAGTGCTAAACACCAGGCACTGTTTTAAGCATAATACATGCATTAACAAATTTAATCCTTTCAAGAATCTCTATAAATTGGATATTATTATGACTCTCAGTTAAGAATAAGGAGCTGAGAGAACAGTGGGTGTATCAGTGGTAGAGACCTTGCATAGTATGTGCAATTCTCTGGGTTCCTTCTCCAGAACTGGAGGCTGGGGGTGGGGGAGAAGAACAAGAAGCAAAGGTACTGAAACATTAACATGTCCAAGGTTGCAGTCAAAGCAAATGTAGCCAAAATTTGAATGCAACTGTCTAGTATCAGAGCTCACTATTCTACTGTGTCTGCAATATGCATCCAAGCATGTTCTCACTACTTTATAGTGTTCTGAATGATACAGATTTTGTGACTCTTCAAAGTAAAGCTATTCATTTGTGGAAGTCTGAGTCCATGAGAAAGCTGGAGAACTGTTTATCTGTGGTACTTTATAGGTGGATGCATTAAGTTAAAGGTTCCATGTCTTGATCACATCATCTGTTTCATTCACATTCATAAGGAACTGTGTACTTAAGAGAAAACAGTATCTCGTGACTTACCTTTGATATCTCTATGGACAATCATATTACTGTGCAAATAATGGACCCCCTCCAGAATCTGACGGGTGTATTTCCTAGTCACATTCTCAGTAAGAGCTCCATATGCTTTTAGTTGGTCCTTAATTGAACCCTGGGATAAAAGAAAACAACTAAATCTGCAGCTTGAAATAGAAACTTGCTTTTAAATCTTTATTTTTAAGTGACTCCTAATTCACGAGGAAGCTATAGGCAGACAGCAGGAATTTTCAGGAAAGGGCACTAATATAGGTCCTTCTTTTTTCATCACAAGTATGGTAGTTTGAGTGAAAATTCCCCCAAGTATTTGAACACTTGACCTCAGTTGGTGGTACTGTTGGTGGGAGGTTTAGGAGGTGAGGCCTTGATAGAGGAAGCATCTAACTGGAGGTAGGCTTTTAGAGTTGGCTTTTCTGATTTTGATTTGTTTTGAGACAGGGTCTCACTGTGTAGCCTTGGCTGGCCTGATACTTGCTATGTAGACAGGCTTTCCTTGAACTCACAGAGATCCACCTGCCTCTGCCTCCCAAGCTCTGGGATTAAAGGTGTGGACCACTACACCCGGCCTAGCTGTGAAGAGTTTATAGCCTCAGACCCATTTCTAGCTTTGCTCACTCTTCTACCTGAGTGTTTCAAGATGTAATCTCTTAGTTTTCTGTTCTGGCTACCTCCAGTAGGCAACAGCTACAGTGGAATAACCAGAAATTTTAAGTCTCCTCATAGCGTAAAACATCAGTTACAAAACTTCATCTATGATGTAGCAGATCAAAAAGTCTGAACTGGAATCTAAATTTAAAGTTTAGCACTAACTTTATAGGAATTTACAGAAAATAAAGGGTTAAAGCAACTACTTAAATAAAACACATGAGGATTCAAGTAGAGATATTTATTTGGCTTGGTGGCGCATAGCTTTAATCCCAGCACTCTGAAGGCAGAGACAGGCATATCTCTGTGAGGGACATTTAGCAATTACAAGTGATTATGATCTTTGGGCTAGAACCAGATGATCTGCATGAAACAACTATAATGGACATTTTTATGGCATTTAGAGAAATATGATGAAAGATCACTACGAGGTCTACAATCTACTTTACAGTACTTTAGCATTAATGAGTCTAAAAATACATCAGGCTGGGCATGGTGGTACATGCCTTAATCCCAGCACTTGGGGGGCAGAGGTAAGCGGATCTCTGTGAGTTCGAGGCCAGACTGGTCTACATAGCAAGTTCGAGGCCAGCTGGGGCTACAGGGAGACCCTGTCTCAAAAAGACAAAGAAAGAAAGTCAGATGAACAAGACAGGAAAAGTATTATTCATCTCTAATTTAAAATCTCTTCAAACCTATCCATAACTAGGATTCATACCTATAACCAACATTTTTAAAAATTTTATGTGTATGAGTATATGGTCTGCATGTATGTCTAAGTGTATCCGTGTTGTGCAGTGCACACAGAGGTCAAAAGGCAGCACTGGCTACCCAACTGGAGTTATGGATGGTTGTTAGCTGCCATTTGGGTGCTGGAGACCAAACCCAGGTCCTCTGCAAGAGCAACCAGTGCTCTTAACCACTGAGCCATCTCTCTAGCCCCCTCTAATCAAAGTTTTGTTTTTTGTTTTTCTTCCTTCAACCTACTTTTTAAAAAAAATTTTATTTTATGTGTATGAGTGTATTGCCTGCATGTGTGTAAGTGCACCTGTGTCATGGACTGCCCTGTGGCGGTCAGGGGAGGGTATCAGATACCCTGGAACTGGAATTATGGACAATTGTTACCAGCCATGTGGGTGCTGGGATTCAAACCTGGGTCATCTGCAAGAGCAGCCAGTGCTCTCTCCAGCCCCCTTCAACTTAGTTTTAAAAATACTGTCTCTTTTCAAAAAGATATATGAACTTACCCCTGGCATATATTCCATAAAGATGGAAAGTGTTTTTTCCTGGGGATCCCTCAAACAGCCATAATACTGAACAATTCGTTCATGCAGCAAGTTTTTCAATAACTGAATTTCACACTCAAGTGCATTTACTTCCTGAAAGAGAAGTTGGCGCTGTTTTTTAAGAAAATAATTTATTACATTTATTTGTGTACATTTATGTGTATACACATGTTGCCACAGAGCATATGTGGAGGTCAGAAGACAACTTGCAAGAGCATTCTCTCCTTCCACCATATGGATCCCAGGGATTGATCTCAGGTTGTCATGTTTGACAGCAAACACTTCTACCTGCTAAGACATCTTGTTGGCCTGGGTTAGTTAAGTCTTTATAACATCACAGTAAAAACTAAATATTCTCACTTCTTAGACTATCAAGGTGATTTCATTCTGAAATGTTTACTTCTCAAAGTCTCTAAGTAGTAATTTTTTCTATGTGAATGAGTGTTATGCCTGCATGTGTGTAAGTGCACCCATGTTGTGCAGTGCCCAAGGAGGACAGAAGGAACTGGAGTTACGGACAGTTGTTAGTCACTATGTGGGTGCTGGGACTTGAACCTGGGTCTTTTCCAAGAACAGCCAGTGCTCTTAACTGCTGAGCCATCTCCCCAGTCCCACCAGCCATGTTTTTTTAGCAGACCCAGATGGTATACTAAAGTAGCACCAAGCCAACTAGGAATGCACTAAAAAAGGATTATCTGCTGTAGAGAATAGATAGGCATAGCTAATCATTTAGTTGTTCTCAAGTAAGAAAGAATCCCAAAATTTTATGTTGCTATACTACATTTTTAAATATTTTACATTTTATATTATTTTGTGTATTTATGTGCACGTGCAGGTACATACCATAGCACACACAGAGGTCAGAGGATAATGTATAGAAGTCAGTTCTCTCCTTCTACCATGTGGGTTCTATGCCTTGAACTCAGGTCTCTAGGCTTGTCAGCAAGAGTCCTTGCCCACTAAGCCATCTCCCAGCCCTACTTTTTTTTTTAAAGTAAAAATGTTTCTTATGATGTGGCCTAATAGTTTGTGTGTGTGGTGGCTTTTACCTTGCTGGTCTCCGGGCTATCAGGGTCAAAATGGACTTGTTTAACGGCCAGTTCTCTTCCGGTATCAACATCATAACAGAGGTAGACCCTACCGAAAGCTCCTTGGCCAAGTAGTTTGCCCAATCTCCAGTTGGTTGGAGCTCGAGGTGCTGGAAAAGAACATGTTCTTAAGCTGAAATTGTTGGATGGTACATGAACCATTAAGAACTAAATGAGCATGCTGTGCACTGATATCCCTAATTGTACATTCTAATAATAAGTGAAAAATATGACCATCCAAACTTTTATGATGGTTTCCATTTATCAAAAATTTTCTCATTCTAAGAATTCTAAATTCAAAGTTTATATCCCCATGACTCATTTTTCCCTGATGAGATTTTCTTCTCCCAACTACAAATGTGACAGCATCTTTCATTTAAGATGCCACCAACTATATCTTCCAATTTTTACTTCCACAATATTTGTTAAGTAGTTTTTTTCAGTTCCATCCACAAGGCAGAAAGCTAGAAAGAGTATCATTTCCTATCTGAATAGGAGGAATGTAGGAAATTAATAAAACCAACTTTCAAAAAATGGTTTATTTTTTAGACAGGATCTCGAAATGTAGCTCTAGCTACCCTGCAACTTGCTGTGCACACCATGCTGGCTTCAAACTTGTGGCCCTCCTGTCTCCAAGTGTTGGAATTGCAGATGTAGACCACCATGCCCAGCCAAAATTCTAACCTTTATTGAATGTTTCTGAAAACAGACTGCAGGGTCTAAAATCTAAGGAAAAAGGATTTACTACAAGGACAGCTGAGAAACAAGAGATGGTAGAGCATAAAGAAAGACCCATTTGGATAGGTAAGGAAAGCTAAGCTCCCCTGCAAACAATTGTTGGCTGCTATAACAGCACTGAACCCTGGGAAGGACAAGATACACATGAGTCATACTTGCCCAACATCTTTCTGTGGACCTCCTACCTGCACTCACAGGAGCCAGAGATCATAAGGAGTCTCCCTTGGTGGTAAAGTTTAGAGAATGGAATGGGACTATGATAGGTAGAAAGCCACCCCTACTTTCCCCTAAAAATTAATAGCCTTAAACTGCTGAAAGAAGGGTAGCAAACCCTATTACCACTAAGGTAGAAGAATAGCAAAGGAAAATGGAAAAAAAACAAGTATCTTGAGGGATGAGGCCTGGAAACCTTCAGGAACCCTGACTGTTAGTTTTCCTCATCTGGGAAAAAGGGCAAGGTCAGTGATAAAGCCAATTTCTGAGAACTGAAGAAATGGAGCTTGCCCAAGACTGAAGCAAGGCAGCCTGCCCTTAGCCTAGGCTTTGAAAAGTAGTGGCAACCAACTGCTGAGGGATCGAAGTGAGGGCCCAAAGAGACCCACCCTCTCTGAGAAGCTCTTAAACAAAAAAAAGCTGAAATCTAAGGCTAGCTAGAGCAGTACCACAGAGAATCCCTTTAGAAAACCAGCTCAGAATAACTATAGAAGAATTTGAAGTCCACGGTGCAAAGGAACCACAGCAAACAAAATCCAAACCCAGCCAAATGGGGACTACAATGACTCAATCCTCCACAGTTACGAACTAGGCAAAAGAGTTGTACGTATGCCCAGGTATAAATTCTATTTACCTCATTCTCCATGACCTTATATATGTCTGGCACTCCATGTAAAATATAAGACAAATAAAATTACAAAAAAGTCAAAAGAGAAAGCAATCAATTTAACAAGATTTCAGATACTCAGATGGGAAATTTAAAATAAACGCTGATTAGTTAGTGAATGCAGTAGAATGCTGGCCTACCATGCACAAAGCCCTAGGTTTAATCCCTACCACCCCCTACCCCCAACACACACACCAAATAATAAAAATTTTGTAAAACTGTGGGGGCTGGAGAGATGGCTCAATGGTTTAAGAGTGTAAGACTGCTTGCTGTTCTGGGCACTGCATTCACGTGCACAAACCTACACTCAGAGACACAAACATATACATAATTAAAATCTTTTTTTTTAATCCTATGATTAACATATTTTAAAAGGCTCTGTTGGAAAAGGTAGAGAATACACATGAAAGATGCAAAGAGTCAAATGAAAATGATGGAAATGAAAAAAATTCCTTCACAAAGATCATGAAGGCCAGGTGTGGTTGGCCTTTAATCTCAGCACTTGGGAGGCAGAAGTAGGCAGATCTCTTTAAGTTGGAAGCCAGCTGGTCTATGCAGGAGTTCCAGGCCAGCTGAGGGTATAGGGAGACCCATCTTAAAAAAACAAAGCAAACAAACAAAAAAAAAAGTCATGAACAGATACACCCTATAATTTCAGCAGCTGGGAGGATCAAGATCATTCTTAGCTACATAACAAGTTTGAGACTATTGTCTGGAGTATAAAGCAAGATCCTGTCTCACAAAAGAGAAATTTCCCAAACTTGGGGCAGGATGGGGGGGATGGAAAGGACAAAATCAAACAGTATAAGTCACTGGAATCCCAAAAGAAAGAGAAAAAAGATAATAGGATAGGAGAAATACCTGAAGTGATAATGACTGGCAATTTTCTAAACACAAAGTATAGATAAACTGAGTATAACACACAAATATACCCAAATATTCAACAGTTGGAAACTAAAGAGAAAAATCTTAAAGCAGAGGTAGGAAAGAGCACGTTTTACTGAGGAATGAAGACAATTAAAAGTAGATTTCCAGCCAGGCATGGTTCTGCAACACCTTTAATCCTAGCACTCAGAAGGCAGAGGCAGGCAGATCTCTATGAGACCGAGGCCAGCCAGGTCTACATAGCAAGTGGCTACAAACAGACCTGTCTCAAAAAAGTAGATTTCCCTTACAGAAAGAATGTAAGCCAGAAGTCAATGGAGAAATAATTCTGAAGTGCTGAATTAAAAAAAAAAAATCTGTATGTATCTGATTATTACTAGTCATAATTGGTTGCACTTGGATCCTTGGCACCTGTGTATGTCTATAAAGTCATCGTGTAGATTTCAGTGGTATTGTTTATCACCTCTACTAAATAGCATGACGTAAATTTCCATGCTTCCTTCTCAAATATAATACATCTTTTAAAATTTGTTGATTTTTTTTCCATGTGTGTATATCACACAGAACATCCCAAACCATCTTATTCAACTATACACCCACTTCCCAGATGGCACCCTCCCATAGCCTCCCTCCCACGACTAGAGCCCTTATACTGATTAAGCCAACTTCTCAGTGTTAGTAGCAAAAACAATGAGTCTTTCTGTAAGGAACAATATATTCTAAAATGAAATGGAGATCTTTTTTAAAGGTTAAAAACTCATTCAATTTTATGTCTTACAGGGCTTATACTGAGTTCACTATTGTATAACTGTATTAACTCAACTGTGAACCTAGAAACTTACATACACTTGTGAAAGAGATGTACTCTTGCTCTAGAATGTGTCACTGAATATGTTAAAGCTGTAGTGAAATGCTTCTTCTAATCATGTAGTTATTAAAAAAATTTTTAATGCTTAAAAAAAATAATTCTTCAAAGCATAAAAATTTGCTCCTTAATAATTAGTAGATGTGAAAAACATTACCAATAAAATCTACCTGACAACTTTATATCCACACTCAGATGCCAAGGAGCTCAGAAAGTAACCGACTGTGACTAGTAATAATCAGATATATAGAGATTAGAAACGCATGTGCAAACATCTTAGTGTAAATTGCATTAAAAATGAATTTTTCTGTATGAAAATGTGTATTTTAAG